GGACGGCTGAGGGGCAGGGGCGGCGGGCGTCCCGGGGCGCGACTCGCGGCGGGGTGGGGCCCACCGGTCCCCGAAGCTGGGCGAGTGAGCTCGCCAGGGCGCCCTGGACCGGGGACCAGAAAGGCCAGCAGGGACGTTTGGAGGGCAAGGCGGCCCCTGTGTGAGATGCCAGAGGCCAGAAGGGGAGCGGGCAAAGACGTGGGCCTGGGGCTGAGGGCCGGGAGGCGCCGTTCTGGCGGATGGGGATGTGGAGGCTCAGGGTGGCACACACCAGGGCAGCCGGCTGAGCGGTCCCCGGCGTGAGGGCTAGTGCCCCTCGCCACCATCCATTCTGTGAGTCTCCGTGAAGCCCCAGGCCTGGCGCCCGCCCGCTTAAGTCATCCTGGTCTGGCCCCACCTTTGGGGTCCCATCTTGTCCCTGTCATTCTTGCAGGGATCCGCAACCCGGCAGACAACTGCCCCAGGGTACCCAACTCAGACCAGAAGGACAGCGACAGTGATGGCATAGGGGACGCCTGTGACAACTGTCCCCAGAAGAGCAACCCAGACCAGGTGAGGGCAGGCCAGGCCCGGCTGGGCCGGAACCCTCGTTAGAGAGCACAGCCCAGTCTAGAACATGCCACACCATCAGGTAAATGCCCTCCTCCTCCCACCAGTCTGGGAGCTTGGCTGTGCAGCTGGGGGGAGGCTTCTGGGTTCCTCTGCCCTGACTGTGGGCCCCTGCCACCCCACAGAGGGATGTGGACCACGACTTTGTGGGAGACGCGTGTGACAGTGACCAAGACCAGTAAGGAGGCACCTGGGTGGGTGGCCGGGCAGCTCCTGACGGAACCCTGCTGGCAGTGGGGATCTCACTGTCTCTCTGTCCCACCTGCCCACTCTAGGGATGGGGACGGGCACCAGGACTCTCGGGACAACTGCCCCACGGTGCCCAACAGTGCCCAGCAGGACTCCGACCACGACGGCCAGGGCGACGCCTGTGACGACGATGACGACGATGACGGGGTCCCGGACAGTCGAGACAACTGCCGCCTGGTGCCCAACCGAGGCCAGGAGGACTCGGACAGTACGGCG